CAGTGGTTTACTTCCTGATTCTGAATAGTTTAAGACTGCAAGGGAAACCTCATCCTCTATGCAGTACCTAATAGTATACAAGGCTTAATCTGGTTAAGCATATTATAAATTTAAAAACCTTTATTTTAAAGGAGTGTGCAAAAAGAATTGCCAAGGTGTCAGCAGAAGCAAAACTGGAAATTGATGAAGAAAATTACTTGAATTCCTTCAGACCCAACCTCATGGATGTTGTCCATACATGGGCAAATGGTGCTAACTTTGCTCACATCTGCAAAATGACTGATGTCTTTGAAGGTATGTTAATCAGTTCTTCTTCAGGAGGTGTGAGATGGTAATTCTGTATCATGGAATGGTAATTCTGAATAACCATATAAAAGAACATAAAATTTATTAACCCAGATGTATTCAAGTCTCTCCATGGCTGAAACTAAGTTGGAAAAAAATTGTTTACAATATAGGTTAATTTCTAGTTACACTGTTGGTAATTAAGAATCTATAGAAGACTTTTTAAAAGACATTTCTCTAAAATTTTAAAAACTTTCTATAAAAACTCTGAAATCCTACATATTGCAACAAAAGGTAACTTTCTTTTGCTAGTTAAAAGAGGAAAACATCATGTTCCCAATGCTTGCCATCAAGATGTACAGCTCTTGTGCTCATCCTTGTTACAGTTAGTTGTTTTATTTACTTGGTAAATTGAAGGTTCCTCCTACTGTCTTAGTGATGACAGAAGTGAGAGGTAACCGTATCTCTGTTCTGGGTGGTTCATCACAGCAGTGCAGTGCAGATACTTGAATAGCCTAGATGTAACCTGTCACCTGGGTCAGTATGGTTCCTAAAACTGGAGAACTAGAAACTGCTGCTTGAGGAAGGATGCTTAGTTTTCATCATTTAAAAAGTAGGGTGACTTAAAGCCCAGATACTTTGTAAAAAGACAAACCATCCACCTGAAGGTCAGGCCAGAATGGAAACCTGATTTCATCTTTTATCAGCAGTGTTGAAAGTTGTGAAGAACAGTAGGATGGGTGCACCAGTCTTACAACTCTCTGTGTAATTGCTGGTACTTGAAAATTCGTCTTGAAGTCGTTCCTGTCACCATTGTCTTGCCTCTTTCAAATGCTGTTTTATCTTTCGTATGTACACAGTTGCAAATGGGAGCCCTTAAAACAGAGGAAATCATGCAGTTCTGTAACCCAGTGCACAGAACTTTCTGAAGTAGGTTGCCTGCAAGCAACAGGAATCCTGGCAGTCTTTGATTCTGCATTCAGCAGATTCCTCCTCATGTCTGATCAGATGTCTGAGCCTTACATCTGCTGTGGAGGCACCCTGAGGCTGGGGAACACAGAGGGAGAAGCAGTAGCTGACTTACATTTCCAAATTGGCACTTGACTGTTTGAAATACACTGGGCAGTAGTGTTTTCCATTCGTTGTATTTGGGCTAAGGCCAGCAGGTCAGCTTGGTCTTAGTCAGTAGTGCTAGCTCCCTCAAAGTCAGATCTTACGGGCCCATTTTGAGGAGTTCAGCTCTTGTGGCAGGGGTTGACGCGTGTTTCTTCCCTTAACTTTTAATTTGGCTGGTTTTCTATGCATTGTCCAAAAAGAGGGGAAGCCCTTCAGATGTCCGCTGCCAATAATGATTACCTTAAATGCAGTGTGGTGTTGCTAAATTCCAGGGGAGTTTGTGCCAATAGCCAAGTTGCTACAGTGATTTCAGAATTAAAAACCAGAATACAAAAAAATAAAACAAAAATAACCCAAACAACAAAACACAAAGCCCCACAGTGTCTTTATTTTGATCCGAAGTACAAATTTTCGTGTTAGGTGTTAGTGTTGCCTGTTGTAATTTTGATAGAGGTTGTTGATGGCTGATTAAAGCTCTGAAATGAGGTGATTTTTCCTCTTTGCCTTCTGGGCAGTGTGGAATTAGCAGTAATGAACTGCTGTTACTACACGGAGGCCCAACTTCACTGTAAGGAGGCAGAAAATTGTCCAACCATTAGAGAACCCGTTGGAAGCCACCACTTTTTTTAAACTGCTTTTCATCACACACACTTTCCCCAAACATGCTAAAAGTACTTTATGAAAGACTCTGCCCTCATGAGACACTGATGTTCACTTGTGTGCTCCATCCAGGCTAACAGGCACCAGCAGAACTTTCCTAGGCAGAAACTGTAAGGTAGTGGCATGCTTCCACTGTCACAAGCCTGAAGATGGATGGTGTTCTGTTATTTTATTAGTACTGATGGTCAGGTGTCTGAAGCCCCTTTTGGTGCAGTTACAAGTAGTGTGAAAACTTGTAGCTGCCTTTTGAGGTTGCAGCAATAAGCCTGAGTGCTCCAAGAGCAAACATGCTTGCCACAGATTGGAGCAGTGTTGATTGACTAATGAAAATAAGTTGTCATGAAGCTAAAATGTGTGTTGGGGGGAAAAAATAGAAACGAGAGCTTTTTAAAGCTGTAGGGAAGAATGGTAAGCTGATCTAAGTATCCTAATAACCAAGTGCAGATCAACCATTTTGCTGTGTGTAAGTAAGTATACACAATAGTAATTTATTCCAAAAATGCAGGGTTTTTCATGCACAGTAAGAGTACATCTGCAACACCCCCAGCTATGCTGCCTGTAAATGAGACTATGCAGTGGTTGTCAGGGGTGGCCTTGGAAACTGAGATGAGTAGGATCTTGACGAGCTGAGCCGAAGCCAGCCACAACGCAGTGTGGCTGCGCTCAGGGGAGCTGCCCACAGTTCACTTGCTTTGGTTTTGTGCTTTGTGTCCAGTTGACAATGAATGGGGTTTTTCACTTCATGTCATTGCAGTAGGTTTTACAGACTGCTGCCCTCACACAGACTGTTCTTTCTATAGAAACTGACATGGCCTGTGGGTACCATATGAATGTGTTTTAGAAGAGAAGTGTTATTTTACTTCTCACTTTCCCAGCAGCTTTGTAGAATGTTCTTTTCATATGGACAATTCTTCTCCAGGTACTATGCCTTGTCTAGAGATTATCTTTCTATGGTTCAATGAAATACTATCTAATCCAATATTCCTGCAATGAGCAGGGACATCTTCAATAGATTTAGTTGCTCACAGTCCCATCCAAGCTGACCTTTAATGTTTCCAGGGATGGGGCACCTACCACCTCTGGACAACCTCTTCTAGTGTTTCACCATCCTCATCCTAAAAGATTTCTTCCTTACATCTAGTCTGAATATGTCCTCTTTCCTTGTCCTGTTGCTGCAGGCCCTACTAGAAAGTCTGTCCCCATCTTTCTCACAAGCCCCCTTTAAGTATTGAAAGACCACATAAAGTCTCCCCAGAGCCTTCTCTTCTCCAGGCTGAACAAGCCCAACTCTCTCAGCCTGTCTTCATAGGAGAGGTGCTCCAGCCCTCTGAGCATTTCTCTGGCCCTCCTCTGGACTCACTCCGACACGTCTATGTCCTTGTGTTGGGGGCCCCAGAGCTGGACACAGTACTGCAGGTGGGATATCATGAGAGTGGAGAAATGGGACAAAACCCCTTCCCTCAACCTGCTGGCCATGCTCCTTTGGATGCAGCCCAGGACACAGCTGGCTTCCTGTGCTGCCAGGCATGTTGCTGTGTCATGTCCACCTTTGCATCCACCAATACCCACCAGCCCTCTACACGGCCGCTCTCAATCCCTTCATCCTATACTTATCCTATGACAGTTATTTTGCTTACAGCAATTTTGACTCTAGGTGCGAGATGGTGTTGGAGGAAATAACCAGGCAGCACAGTTTGCATGCCACTAGGAGAGCGTAATGGTTAGGGTCATTTTGTGACACGTGTTACAGTGACTTGGGCTGAGCTCAGAAGTTAAAATAGGAGTTGTGTTACAAACTATTGTGGGTAGTAGGTTGCAGTGTGAGCCTGTATTTACTGTAAGCATGCAACTGAGTAGTATAGAGTGGTCCATAGACTCCTGAGTGGCGCAGGAGTAGTGAAGTACACCACTTACCAAAGGCTACAGAAAAAATTACAAAAAATAAAACTGTGTCCTGGAACATGTATGGTTTTTGAGGGAGGTCTAAACAAGTAACTTGTTACGTTTCAAGTACTTGAAAGAAAATAGGAATTACTTAACAGCCCATAAAGTCCTCTCATTAAATTAGAGGCTGTGAAAACAGTAGAAGAAAACAAAAGGACAAGCATTTGGAGATAGCTTCAAGGAAATGCCTGATGGAGAATTTCACTGTTAAAGAGAAACCGAATTTAAGACATGTGGCTTTTCTTACCCTTGGACTTCTAGATAAATTGAACAGGGTTGGAGAAGGAACTAATACTTTAATCCAAAGTGGGCTCAAGCAACCGAATTACTCAGTGACATGATGTAGCAGGAGGTACAAAGTTTTCTCTCACTCTTTTTATACAGGTAGCATAATTCGTTGCATGAGAAGGTTGGAAGAATTGCTTCGGCAGATGTGCCAAGCTGCAAAAGCCATCGGAAACACAGAGCTGGAGAACAAGTTTGCAGAGGGTATGTATTTCACTTCCACAGTACAAAAAGTTACTCTGGAAAACGTATAAATGGAAAGTTGGGGAGGGCAGGCAGGACACGGTGTGGGTGAAGGATTTGGTAACACAAGCTTCTGCTGTTGACTTCCTGGTAAACAGATCATTGCTCTCTTTCTAGATAGCATCTGTCTTACAAAGTTTGACTTGAAAAGGTGGTGGTTTTGATGCGTACTGACAGTTTAATGAAGTTTGTGACTGAAAATGGATGTACAATGACTTCCCTTTAAGACTTGTAACACTTTGTTTACTGCAAAGTGTTACAGGCCTGTAACTGTATTTAAATAGTGATTGTGTCAGTTTTGAGTGCTGGATATTAATGTGTTTTCCTTTTTAATAGGGATTACAAAAATCAAGAGAGATATTGTCTTTGCTGCAAGCCTTTACCTGTAACAGGTTGTCTTCCAGAAGCAGCACAAGAGCCACCTTACGGGGAAATTAATCACACGATACTTCCATTTCAATAATTTTTTTTAATGGAGCGTATTTTAACCACAGTTATTTTAATAAGGCATGTACAAACAGTATATGTAATATAACTGTTACCATGTTTTCAATAAAAATTTACAATTTGAATAGCTTTTTTCTTTTAAGCAAGGGCTTGCACCAACAGAAATTTGAAGTTTAGATATACAATAACTGTGGTTATTGTAACTGTGGTAGATGTTACTATATACAGGTAAAGTGAGCATTCAAGAGCAGCAGCAGTTCCTTAAAGGCATTTACTTTTATTACATAGTTAGACTTGTGAAATTGTTTTCCTTTCAAAGAGCAAGACAGGTGGGTCATGCTTCATGGCTGATGATTGCTGCCAAAGTGATTTCCGTTTGTTGGAGTCTCATGTAGGGTTGTATGGGAATCTTCCTTCGGTTGAAATGTACATCCTCTCACTTTGAAGAAGTCAGACACGTATACAACCTGAATGAACAAATTAGTGTTAAGATCCTGCGCTTGTAAGTCTTTGAGACAACAGGTAAATGCTTTTGCAGAAGATAAATTCCATTATTAAAACAAAGTTTAAACTGATTTAAACATTAGAAGGTTGCTAAGAAGTCATGTATAAAATTCCATCATCTCCTCTTTCAGTAGCTTTTTCTCCAGCTGTTGCTCCTGCTCCGACTGACTGCTTCACTGCTGATGGTTTAAGCCAAATTTAAGGCTTATGTGGTAACTAACTGCTCTAATGGCCTCGTTGAGCACTGCTTCATCACAACAGCCATAGTTTGAACAACTTGAAATGAAGGAGCAAAATATGCTTGCTGAGGGCCTACACCACATGTACGGTTAAATTTACTCTGTAAGTTGTTTAGAACAGGACAGGAGAGTCTGTATTTTAGCTGAGGAACAGGTTTCAATAGTTAGTAACTGTCACTCTCCGCAGTGTCACCCTCACTTGCATTTATTCAAGCTGGCTAAACCAACCTTGCATTCTTCTCCTTGGCAAGATTCACAGCAGCTCCCTCCCCAGTCCATGTGTCTCATAGCTAGCTGTAAGGCTAGCATCCTTCCTTGCATTTCTTTGACCATGCCACCTCACTTCCTTCACAGCTATGAGACAGGTCCCTCGATCCAGTTCTACAGCTTGTTTTCTTCCCTTTGCCCACTTCAAGTCATATCAGTAGGCATGCTGGGTACAGTGCTGCATGCAGTGTAATAATTAAGAAGCCTTCCCTCATGATCCCTTCCTGCGTCACCTCCTGCCATCCCACTGCAAACCTGAGAACTTCAGAACGCAATTTATGGCAGCAGAAGAAACCATACTCCACACTGCGGGCTGGCTGGTGGCCCAGCAGGCTGCTTTAGCTGCATACCAGATGAGTTTCAGCTTCCACTCAATGCTGAATTCACTCAACTCAATTTAGTGCTCCATGTGCAGTTGCTGCCCCAGCATGCTCTCACCTCAGCTGTTCCTGGACTCTTCAGTTCTTTCACATAAGGGTTTTGTTGGGAGTAATCTTTAAAGATAATTTCACCTTTCAAATCTATTCCCTGTAGTGCCACCTTCTATTCATGCTTGTATTGCCAAGCATCTCTAAGATATCCTCCTTGAAATCATCTAGCAGCCCCCACTAAACTTGTTATCCTAGTTATCCTATCCCCCCCACTTGTTATCCTAATAAATAATAAAATTTCCCTCAGCTTTTCAGTCCCTGATGTTTCTCATTCCCTGCATCCCTTTTCTTAGAAAATGAGGTTGTACGAAAGTGAGGGGTAGGATTTTGTTTTAGTCAACATGCAGCCATTTAACTGCGGTTAATGCAGTATGCAGAGCTTCCCAGAGCAGCTCCAAGGCTTGTATTGATGATCGATTGCCAGAAGTAAACAAAGCTTTGTCTTGGAATGAACTACGCCCTTCTGACTTCCAGCTGAGAGAACATTTGTTTATCTTGGACGTGGTCCTTGCCGGTGAGCCTCAGTTCTTGGTAATGGAACTCCTCAACACGACCTCAATTAGTTCATGTCTCTGATTTGTCACTTCCCATGGTTGAATGCACCATGGCATTGTGATGATGGCCAGCACAACTGCTGCCACTAAGTCAGCCAGGCCTGCAACTCCAAGTTTAGCTGATCCTCTTTTCCATCGGATAGCTCTTCACTCATCAGAACAGCTCAGCTTCATATGCCTTGTGAACACTTTTAGCTCTCAAAATGCACACAAGGCATGCTGAGGAGTTTTTGTTTCCCATGAGACTTAAAAATCAGGCAGTTTAAGCTGGCAGAGACTGATATTTTCATGCAGCCCTTATGCCTAAAGGCATTGCTTTTTGACCCTTGTAGCTCATACACAGTTCTCCTCTGCTCTTGTGCTTGAGATTTAGAATTTGGCTAGAAGCAGAAGGTAGGGTTATATAGAGGCCCCACAAGGTTTTGCAGTTGATCATTTCCACCTCAGTCGTTTGAAAAGCTCTAGGGCAGGGACAATTTCATGTTGTCCAACAGCTAAAACAGCCAATAATCTCATCGCTAGTGCAGTCTCTGCCTCACTCCCCAAAGTGCTACTGCTACACGCAGTTCAAGGAGTTACTTTGAAAGTTGCCGGAGAGGGGAAGCACTAGGAAGGGAGGCCGGCTTTCCTCTGAACACAGCCTGCAGTTCTAAGGTGCTGTTTATAAAAGCAGCATTCACACACGCACACTTCTCTCCCCTCAGGAATTACTTACAATGAGCACAGCTACCACGGCTCCCTGAATGAGTCCTGTTAAAACATCACTCCAGTGATGCTTGTAATCAGATACACGTGACAGACCCACAAAGATGGATGCAGCAATAAGACCAAATTGTATGGTGGGACGTAAAAGCCTCGCCCAGTCTCCTTTCATTCTGGCCTGAAGGTAAAGCTAAAAGGAAAATAAAAATCATTATAAAATGCAGCAAATGCAGAAGCAGCAATTGTGTAAAATTGTGCAGGGTCTGTTCAAAGAGCTGAAATTTGTGTTCAGATACATGATGATGTCCACACATATTCAAAGAGCTCCACTCACGAGTATGCTATGGCAGAGTTTGATAGTCAGTGTTGGTCTTCTTTATGTTTTTATAAAAAACTACATGACACCATCATACAGGTACTGGCTGTATTTGTACCAGAGTGACAAATCACAATTTTCAGGATAAAGGCACTAGTAATACCAGAGATACTTACAGCTTAGAAAGAATGCATTGGAAGTCAAACCAGTGTTTTAGTCCTGAATTAACTACAGGTAAGTCTTATTAAAAACAAACAAATAGCAACTTTCCAGATTTACAGTCCTCCAAATACAGGGAGCCCCATCTTGGTCTGACCAGGGAGATCATTAACATCTTTGGTGACTTTTACTTATAGTATACATAGATCTGACAATCTTTCTTAGTTGATTCTCAATTCCAGACACCTTTAGCATGATCAGCCTTCTAGCATCACATTCCAGCTGTAGTCAAGCATCAGAACTAACTCGATGAGATGACGATAGCATCTAGGATCACATTCCGCAGCTGTGTACTTCACTGAGCTCCATCTGCTCCTCCTCCTTTCTAGCTGCAAATTAACCATGTTACCACTGCAGTAAGCAAGCGGGTGTGTGCAGGTCCCGTGCTTTTTCTCTCTCTTCAGCTCTGTTTATGTTGTATCTATGCTTTTGATGCATTCTCAAATTCACAGTACTTAACTCCATTACTTTCCCATCTAACCTAAGACCCTGCTTGGTCTCCCTCTCCAGTCTGTCTAGGACAGAGAACTCTTATTTCAGCTGTAAGAGGAGCTTCTCCAAATCCACCCTGTAAGCAGTATTGAGAACTTGATCCTGTCGCCAAAAAAGGCACCATAGTTACCGTATTTATGGAAAAGAACAATACAGTTGGAAGTTATATTTAACATTTTAAGTCTCTTTCTTCAGTACCACCTAAGAACTTCTGGTCAAGTACAAACCCTTAACTGACAGTCCTACGAAGTCATAGAAGCTGACTAAAACCACAGCAGAACAGCACACTAAACTGCTGGTAGATCCCCCCTTGCCAGCATTAAAAGCTGTGGCTGCCTTTTAGCAGCATTAGATTTACAATATAAATACAGGCATAGAGCATGCACTGTGGATGCAAAGGTGTTACTTTCCGAAGTTAAACATGTGGGGAATGTTTGGTTGGTTTCTCTGGCTAACGTCTACATCATCATTTTTGGCATGCTGACTTTTTTAGCTATAAATGGAGCATCAAAAAGATCAAACCTATCTATAACTGGTTTTCTTTAATAGGTCAGGGTGAAATCAGCCTCTGAAGAAGCTACAGCTGAGCCTGAACTTGGAAATAATTTTTCGCCCCTCAAGTGGTGGGCACTGCATGTTTCTGGTGACCTTATTTTCACCAGTAGGGAAAATATTGTGCAGCCACTTCAAAAACTAGCTGTCTCACACTTCTTTTAGCAAAAGGCGTTTTAATGGTCTTATATTAATACCACATCTGGATTTACCCACAGTAGACCAGAACACTACCTGCCTGCCTGCCAAATGGAGCAGAGGTGGGTCCAAGGAGCACATGCTGGTAACCTAAAAACAGCTGGCTGATGATTTGATACTGGCTGTTCTTTCCCCTTTCCCTATTCTCACAAAATTCTGCTTTAGGCAGCTGAAAATACCTTGCTGTAATAAAGTTTCTTCCATGTAAGCATTTCTGGTAGCTGGCAAAGGTGCATAGTCGTATTAGAGAGTTATGCAACTCTCAAATAGGTAGGAAAACAGCTTTACTTCTGAACAGAAGAAGAAGATGAAGCAAACCACAGAAAAAGCGAACTTGGAAAGATGGCAGTCCACAACACCTAACAACCGATAAAAGAGTCTTAGAATCTCCCTTACACAGCATGTATTCAGATTTTCTTTCTGCTTGACAAAGCAAACAAGAAACTTGGATTTAACGTCTTTATTTCCATGCTGTGAGTGTAATCTCCAGTCCTAGAGAAGATTTGCAGCTGCTCTGTCAGCTGCAGAATACACACAGTTGGCTACAGGCTTCACCAATTCTAGGTGCTTCTTCACACCACCAGCTCCAAGTAGTTGTAGGGGAAATGCCCAAAGCTCTTCTTGCACCTTCTACCAGCAGATTGATTTATATTACCCTAAAACTAGGGATGAGAAGAGTGAGAAATCATACCACACGTAAGTGTCAGTGTGACTGATCACTGCTGTATTTAATTTCAGAAGTAGCAGCTGTTCTGGTTACAGCTGTTTTTTTCTCTATTACTTGTTTTTGTTCAGTTGAGAGTATTTGCAGCAATGGCAAATGCCTCGTTATTTTAAGCAGGTAACTTCAAACTGACACTGTTTTAATAGGCTCAGGCAGTTGTGCTCTCCCACAAAGATTCTTCCTACTGCCATGACTCACTCTTTGCAAGATGACAGCCATGTGCCTGGCCTGAAACAGGGTGGCACAGGAAAATGGACTAGCCAAAGGGATTCTGCCATACACTTCCACTAAATAGAAACCCAGGTTGATACCAGAAGCATGCCCGAGTCCTCTATATAGCATTTTATGTGCAGCATAGAGATGTCCTGGTGTTAAGCTGCACTGACACTTACTGCTGCTTTGACCCTGGTGACTAATGGCAGTCAGTGACTTCAGGCTGTTCAGAGGGCCCCTCCCAATAGGCACAGCATGCCTCACGTTCTCTGCTCGTCTCTGAAGTCATCCGCAGCTCAGGCTTAAAGAAGGGAAACAAGCCAGTCCCCGCCAGTCTCCTCACCTAAATCTCTTTGCTAGAAAGGAATAAGCTTTACAAGTAAAATTAATTTACAGAAGCAGCTGGAACTTAGAAAACGTCACCTCATAACTGCTACTGTAATGCTCCTTGCCAGCATCTCGCTGCTGAAGAATAAATCTGTGAGCCTATGAATGCAGCAGGAACATCCAGAGCTGTTCTGGTAGCAACATGCTCCTATCCATGGCAGCTTTTTGACCGTGCTAGCTCCCCGATATCCTGTTTCTGACCATCTGTCTCATCATTCAGTAGTAGCATTCAGCTATGACCTGTTTCCCTTCATTCATCCATCCTGGTGTTTCTCGTGTTTGTTTGTTTGTTCTTTTTAAAGTGCACAAATAGATTTCATTGAAACTTCCTTGTAATGGGATTAAATAATATCCAACTTTTTTCCCCCTACTAGCTAATGCTTAGTCTATAACGAAAGTATGTTCTGTGCACCACACACATCCTGAACACAAGTTTTTTCTTAATCTATGGTCTAGTACCTCATTTCTAAAAATACACACAGGAATGAGGAGAAACTCACAGCCACTTTGTGGCTTCTTGAAAGAAGCCACAGATGTGAATGGAAGGGTCTCTGCAACTGGAGAATTATTTGCTACTCAACGTTTCTAGCATAACTTTCACATATTTGCTCTTCCACCAAAGCAGTATTAATATACATATACACATGCCTGCCTACCTAATTTTAAAGTGACTTTTAATTTCCTAGATAGACTTTTGAGAGGCTGCACAAGAAAACTTAACAGTCAACACCTTTAGGGCACAAAATTCTTTTAAATCTATCAAAACGTCATCAGTCCACCAACCAAGGTCGTATTTCAGATACTGAGCTTTGATTCTTAAAAATCCTCAGCCATTTTCCATTCAATACCTTCAGATTTTTTTTCCCCTCAGTCCTATTAAACAAAAATTCTGTACTGTAAGATGTTTTACCTATTAAGGTATGAGAAATCCTCTTGCATGGAATCATGCTGTGATTCTCTAAGTTCTTCCCTGTGAGGGTGCTGAGGCGCTGGCACAGGGTGCCCAGAGCAGCTGTGGCTGCCCCATCCCTGGCAGTGTTCAAGGCCAGGTTGGACGGGGCTTGGAGCAACCTGGTCTAGTGGAAGGTGTCAGGGGCACTGTGGCAGGGGTTGGAAACAGATGATGTTTAAGGTGAAAAGGATGTATTTCTGCAGTTAGTTCAAGGTGGAGGTATATCTGAGCTACTATTCAAATGGGTGGTCTGTCCCTTTTTAATCTAGCCATGTAGTCCTGCTGACTCCCCAGTGCCAACCCTGATGTTTGAATAGCCCTACAGCAAGCTGGTACAGGGATCCATTGAACAGCTGAGTTAAGGGTGGAGAATGAACAGACTGGGGAGAAAAGGCAGAATATGTACTCGTCTGGCCTCTTTAAGATAGGTGCATCCTGCTGCCAAAGGCAATTGATGTGCAAGAGCTGCCTCCTTTGCAATGGGAAAGAATCCTATCTGTTGTTAGTAATAGCCCAATTCTCAACTCTGTATCAAAAGTACAATCAATCTACTCTCTACAGACATTTCCCACTGGATTAGTAACGTTTTTTGGGGTTTTTAATCTGCCAGCCTCAACTTGGCTGTACATTGCAGAAATAGTTGTTTATTGACCTCATTTTACCATAAAGTAGGATAAACAACACTTTATTCCATTTTAAATGCTAACACTTGGTTCTTTTCTGATGAGAAAAAAAACCCTGTATTTCTTAAAGTAGTATTTTTCTATTGTGTCTACCAATTTAAAGAAACCTTTGCTAGAAGAACACAAGCACTGCACTTGCTTTTGGCTCAGTCCTACTGAAGCCAGTTCACCATAATCTCATCACCACTGACAGTCACCCAAGCAAATGAAGAAGTAGCTTTGCTTTGTTTGCTTACTATTAAAAACTCTGAATACCAGTATTAAAAGAATACTAGGAGCACATACAAGAAGCAGTACAAGCATCTCCATTCTTGAACCTTACAGCATGACCAGTTACCCTCTTATTTTTCATCTCTGCTTCAAGCAAGATTGGTACAACTCACAGCTATGGCCAAGCAAACTATTTTCAGTAACAAGTATCTTCTCGTTAGTTTTTGATGGCTAGGTAGTCCTCTACTACTTTCATGTGGGCAGGAACAAATTAAGGACTGTTCTGTAGCTCTCGTCAGTAACATTTGGGAAAGCAGACTTACTGCCATGCAAACAGACATACCTAAAATGCTGTGTTAAAGGCTTGCAGGCTGTTACTTGGGTGCTGTTTCACCTAACCACCAATCCCAACATAAACAAAGAAAAGAATTTAATGAGCGAAGCTTGACTGGCACATTTAGGAGCAGGAGTACAAAATGCAGCCTAATGTCTGCGTTCACTCTTGTTTAGCCTATGATCTCTCTGCAAAAGAAGGCTGTCGGCCCAGGCCACTGAAATCCCAGTTGCCCTCCTGTTCTTGTCTGTAACTCCCTGTGTCCTTGTACACACAAGATGTTCTTTCCCAATGAAATGTGGGAGAGTTTGAAAGCCACTCAAGTTACATCATGCAAAGATTCATCATCCCTTTTCATCCCAAGTCAAAGCAACACAAACAGTTGCCATCCCCAGAATAGCAAGGCAGCTTGGCTGGGCTTCTGTTCCTCATCCCGGGTGCCCAGGCCAGCTACAGCGAAGACTGACACCATTACAACAACCTGATCCTCAGGGAGGCACTCATTTCTGCAACTGCAACACTTGCAGTGGGCTCATTCTCACTGCTGAAGACAGCATACATTTAGCTTTTTAATTTACAATAGCTTTCAGATACAAGTTTAAAAACATCCACGAAGTTAAAGCAAAAGCTAATGATTAACTGCAGCATTCCCCCTCAAGGGAAAGGGTGCTAGTTTGGTTGTGTGGACAGTGCTAGAAGAGGTGTTCAACTACGCTCGTCCCCCCATTCTCCAAGCCAAGATCAGATGGTTTATTGATACAGGAGAGATTGTGCCAGCATTTAACTACAAAAGGCAAGGAGCAGGCGGGGGTGGGGATGACAGAGGCAGTTTGGGATCTGGCATCTGTTACTAGGTCAGTGGGTTCCCACATACTGCTGCAGCTCAAGCTCACTCCAGTTTCAACATGAAGCTGTTGTGGCAAAAGCATCCCAGAGATAACGGCTCTGTCTGGGCCAAACTGACCCACCTAGCTCTGCCAAATGAATTTCGAAATACATTCTCCAGCACAACTTCCTAGTCTGACAGTTTGCAAACAAGTTTTTTCTGTGGTGTTTCACTCATTCCATATATCAGTGAGTTAGAAACCAGAAGAAACTTTAAGTCTAACTAGGAAGTAGGCTAAAAATCCAGGCCTTAAACTGATCCAGGTAGACACTTTGCCTTTTTTACAGGTACATGGCATGATAACATCCTATTAAATGCACCTGTGATCTCTATGCTGTAAGAATTACAAGTGATATACACTACTCCTTATTTAAATAGTTATATAAACTATTTAACATTCCTGAAATTATTTAGACCCACATTTAAATCAAAATGATTGAGATCAGCCCAGAGGAGAAGGTCTTGGGGTCAATGAGTGTGTGGTCGTGGCCCAGAAACCAACCGTATGCTGGGCTGCATCAAAAGGAGCGTGACCAGCAGGTCAAGGGAGGTGATCCTGCCCCTCTACTCTGCTCTTGTGAGACCTGTGTTTACATCTCCTTCTATCACTTGTTACCTGGGAAAGAAGACCAACACCCACCTCTCTCCATCCTCCTTTCAGGTAGTTGTAAAGAGCGATAAGGTTTCCCCTGAGCCTCCTGTTCTCCAGATTAAACAACCCCAGTTCCCTCAGCTGCTCCTGATCACACTTGTTCTCTATGGAATCATAGCTTCACCTGTCACAGTATACATGTTCAGCAAGTAACATTTAACAGTATGCTTTCTGCAGTATGCACACATGGCAGGCTCCTCCAGTCTCTCCAGAAACCAGCACACTAGTGTCTGGTTATAATTAATATTGCCTGTGAGTAATGCCACATGTTAACAATTCCATCCTGCTTATGACTCAGTCCATGTCTGGACTGAGTGTGCAAAGAGCAGATGAAGCCAGCATCAGAGTTCAGTTAACAAACAGGTATCAAGTGCTGCAGGTTTGGTGTAGAGCCAGAGGCAGCACTCTGCCTTGCCACGTGGACAAGGGGAGGATTAGAGACCTGTTTTCCTTACCTTCCTGCAGTAGTTGTCTGCTTGAAGACATCTGCACCCTTTTTTTAAGTGACTTTTTTTGTTACTACTGAATAAAGAGACCACAATCAATGAAAAGGTTGCTATACAGTAATGCTGCATTAATAGAAATGCAAATCATCATGCACAGGAGTCATTAACCTTCTTCAGATGTCCCTGTGAGGCTTCCCCACAGTTTCTGGACTACTAATCTTATTACAGGACAGAAGAAAGTAGAATACTAATCTCCACAAAGCCTCTTACTTGTGCTGGACAATAGCTTATCCAGAGACAAGATAAGAAAGCCAAGTAAATATTGCAACTTTTGTACTAGGTCACTAACCCATTTAGATGGAAAGAGCATACTTACTGCTAGGAAGAGCATGCAGTACATGGAGAACGAAGAATGGCCAGAGTAAAATGATAGTCTGGAAGAGAAGAGAGCAGGCATCTCATTATTTTTCTTTTGCAACATCCAGTCTACAGTGATACTAATTTAGCTTACACAAGTGAACTGGTAAAATGCAAGCTTTCTTCAAGGAGGCTATCTAGGCACATCACATATCCGACAATGGCTTTTGACAAGCAGCACAGGCTTCACCACTCAGCAGCTAATCCTGTTCCAGCATTAAACTGATCTCCACATCAGGCAGTAACTACTAGCCCGTTGAATAAAGTTTGAACAGCAAGTGAACACATCCTCAAAGCTAGAAGTCAAGTGCCCTTTAGAACAGTATTTTTGCTTCATCTTCTTGATTAAGTACCAGAATACTGTAAATAAGTAATTTTAAAATTTATAATATCCAATAGTCAACAGTGCCACAGTGTACACATTGACACATTAATCACCCCAAACAAATCAGTAGCCTTTGGTCACCATCAAGAGGCAGAAGTTAACAGCACATATTTAGATGTATATACCATACATACGTGTGTATTACCTTCTTTAAACATACTGATGTATACAGACCACGATATCTCTTATTGAAGGGTAGGGGGAAAGGCAGGAAGGCAGTTCATTAGCCTGCCAGCAACAGAAGATGACACCTTCCCTTATCTGTTTTTTGCAGAAATAGCTTCATGCTTAGCTGTCTCATTTAAAGAGTGGCAGCACTGCCTTCAACTCATAAAGGCTTCTAGCAGGTGCAGACTGAAGGGACTCAGCAGTTGATGCTGAAGTTCCTCTCCTGCACAGATGGTTTCTGTGAGGCACTGAGTGTCAAAGCTGTAAAACAAATCCCACCCACCTCTTGTCAAGAGTAGAAGGCAACATGGAAAGACATTCTAATTCTGTCTAAAGTGGAAAGATCAAAGAAACTGTGCTTAAACTGTTTTTGTCTATTTTATGCACAGAGCTTGTACCTGTGCTTCTTCACAGCCAGGCTCCTGTGCAATTTAGCTACATAACACAGCACTCCTGGTTTAAGAGTTTGGCATACCCAAACAAGGCCAACTTAATTACAAGTTTCATAACACTCTAGATTGCCCTCCACAATATCCAGCGGGGCCCTGTTTTGGTGCCTCAGCCAGGCAGAAAGCCCAAGGCCAGGGAAATTCCTGGTGAAACACTTGTGTTCTTTCGACAAGACTAATAAAGTCAGCTCTGATACGCAGTTAGATAATTGGGTTAAACATTCACTACTCAAATACCACAAAGGCAGCAATAAAACTATCTTGTGCACAAGTGAAACTGCAAAACTTCCTGCATTAATTTGCATGTATAACATTGCAAAACTGCATCAGCTATCAGGACAAAAAAACAAACCAAAAAAACCAAAAAAACCAACAACCCACGCAGAAGTTTCCTCCATAGGTTTTAGAGTTCTTGGTTTATAGTTGACTCAAAGCACTGCCAATAGTGCAATGAGAAGTACTCCGAAGTTTCAGAAGTACTAAATAAGCAATCTTGAAAATAGTAAGATGAATTTGTGTGTGAATATTTGTATATTCATGCACAAAGATATTTTTCAATTGAATTCTTAAATAGAAAACCTGTATTGACAATATGTTATCTTCAGATGTTGAAAAATTCAAAACCATTAACATTACATTTTAGCTAGACATCCCTTCTCTACTTTACTGCTCTTTATCTCTTCACCAGTTAAAATGTCTGGGCAAGAGTCCACTATGAAAGCCAACACAGTAAGCATTTTGAAGAGCTCTGCCTTTCAGACAAATGTGTCTTCTGAGCCATGGAAGCAAACCATGCTGCTCTACTCCAGAACAGACGACACAGATTAAGGAATTCATGGCTCCTATGCCAATATTTTATCTACTGACTTTGGGACTATTCCTATTGTCCATGAGACAACATTTCCTGCAGTTCCTGAAGGCAACCTGTTGCCAACTGAAGGAATTCAGAAGGCTAATAAGTAAGAAAAAGAATAAAGTAAGAAAAAGAATAAAACCTACTACTTCAAGAAGGTGGTTTTTTTTGGTTTGGTTTTTTTTTTTGAACTTGTTATACAGTTTAAAGGTGGTGTTGACTACTGGCATTCTGGGTTTTAGGAATGTGTTTCCCAACATAAAGAATGCCTTGGTGCAAGCTGAAGATTACAAAATAATTTGAAAGCATTCTCATCAGCCATAGATGAGTATGCTGTGCATGACTGAAAATGTTACGCTTAGCACATGAAGTATTGCCAGAAATACAACTGGGACAAAGTATTGATCCAACTTGTACATTGTGCAATCCCAATGACATTTCTTTGGCAATACTGTCATCTCTAAATTTCTTTAAAGAATAGACATATCTTTAACAAATTAAAGAAACCCTAGAACCCTTTCGAACACTAGGTTTGACAAGGGAAGAGTTTCCCAATGATTCCTCAGCACGCTGTCATCCCAAAGCCAGGAGAACATTCTGTCTATCAAACTAGCCAAGCTGCTGCACAGCCCAGGCTTCTTTGTGATCATACTGCAAGTTCTGTCTTGGCACAAGCCAGCATTATTTACTAGTCCTAAGAATGCATAAATATCACAAGAAAATAAATTTATAAATATGGTACAGACAACTCTCAACCCCCTTACGTTTCACTAATGAAGGAAAGGCTAAATTATTCCAGTAGGAATTTGCACATCAGATTTCAGGAGTTCTTTTTCAAATTAATATCAGAACAATATCCAGTGAACATGAAATAGGAGATGGAACGTGCAAAGTCTTGTTTTGATTCTTTCCAAGATGGCACAGTCTGGCGTCAAAAGAACAGCTTTGCAGAGCTGTTCATCCATGGCACGTTCATCCATGCCTTTTACTTGGTCATTACCTACCTCACAGATCCCTTCTGATGTGAGGAACAAAGCTTTAACAGGAAAAAGCATTAGCTTTAGTTATTTCCACTTGGGCAATATATTAACAGTAAGTTAGAAGAATGCCTTAAGTAACAACACAAAACCAGTTTCAGATCTTATTTGAGGCCTAAAGTTTCCAAAGTCTACAGCACAGCTGGACATCTCAGAAAGATCTTAAAATAAGGTAATTTAATGGCTGTTCAGCTTTCTTTAAACTTAGTTTTGCCACAACTTTCACATGGTTTATTATAAAGACAAAAGTAAAGAGACTACTTTATTTAAAAGGTTGCCATAAGACTGATTACAGTTAATCACTACAGTTTATTTTAAGTCTGCATTCTTAAAGATTACCTGGGGAAATAATCAAAGTACAAACAATTCCTACAAGAAATAATTGAACTGAACCACTCAGTACTTTCAGCCAGGATTTCTAATCCCAGATAAGCACGTCTAAAACAGATGGTCTTGCAGGACTAGACACTGACAACCATGTCATTCTGTTCTATTCCTTTCCATGCACAAAGGCATAACTTAGGCTAGTGAGCAGAGCCCACCTGATAGAAGGTACTGTTTCTTCAATTTGTAGAGAAATGGAACATAATGCACAGCAAATAAAAGGATTATTTGTCTTAAAACATATTCTTCCTTGTGAGTGACAGTGTAAGTAACAAGCTTTGCTTGGCAGGATTTTATAAAGTGCATTATTTAGTAAGTGAACTGCCAAACGCTGGAGCCAGTAAAAGAAGCTGGATGTCTTCTCTCTATGTAATGTCCTTGTAAGGACACCTGAATGTGCAAAAACATTCAAGCAATGTACAGGAGTCTGACAGGGAAATAAAGAGCCTTAGTGAAAACAATACTAGGAAATAGCTAAATACATAGGGCACATTAGGGCATTAAATGGCAAGAAATTAGAGTTAGAAATTACGTTAGAAATGGATAAACCAGAAGAAAGCTTATGGTGTGGTGCCACAATAAACCTAGCAGAGGCTGAATGATAAGGGAATCTTTCCGGTACAAGTACTGAGTTATGGAATGATCCCTTAGAGGAAAATCAGGAGGCCCAGCAAAACATTATGCATACTCCCACATCAACGAAAATAAAACCACCACTGGGTTAGCCACGAAATCCTTTGTATCCTCAAGTTCTCTGGATTCTCCAAGTCCAACTCAAAGCTTCTGCTGACATTCATGTTACCCATTTCATTGATCTGGACTGGAATAAGTGCCAGGCAGAGCTGTAGCTTCGCACATCTGTGCTAAGCCAGACAGCTCCACACGCTTGTCAGTGAAATACTCCTAGAATTTAAATGCCATGAGGATGTGGTTTAATGAAGTGCTAGTCCTACGTTTCAGCTGAAGCACCATGTTCTTTACAGTCTGCACTCAGCAATTAACATGTTTTTGCAGCACCTGCTCTTTTCTCAAGTGCTGCACAACTATCAAGATTGGCGAGGATTGAAAGATTTGAGGACTCTGAAATGAACTGCTTCTGTGATTACTGCAAAGAAATGTTTAAATAAAACGCACAAGCAGTTCATGTATATAACTACTTAGAAACCCATTTTCTAAATACAACATTCCCAATTTTTCCTCCACTTTCTACCTTCTCTTCCATTATTTAAACCCACGCTTAAGTACAAAGCCTTACACTTACCAAAAGGAAAAAGCTGCCAAAGGCTTTCCAGTTCATGGGTAATTTTATTGACAATGGTGTTTTGACATAAGACTTACTAAGTGTGTTGCACAATTCTCTAATAGTATCTGGGGTGATGGGTACATGCACTCAGCCCTACTTTAGGCAGTAGTAGCAGATAGTGAGAAAACTGGACCAATGCTGACACTTGACACACGAGACTATACCCAGGTTTTTGCAGAGTTACACATTTTCTTTTACCTTATTCTTATCTTACACAAATTTAAAGTTCCCTGCTTGTCCTACTGACATAAAATTATCTTCACTGCTAGGCTGACCAGATTTTTAAGCTTGTTAAAAACTTCTGCTGACATAATTAGTTGGGAATTGAAAAAGTACCTCAAAATACATCAAAGTAGACAGATAAAATGTAAATATATCTAAGATGACCTGTCAAAAAAATCTCATCATCCTCCTTTTTTTCCCCTTTCATACAAGCATCAGTCAAACTGCATCTTGAACTT